ATGATGATGATGATGATGATGATGATGATGATGATGATGATGCTGTTGATGATGCTGATGGTGTTGGTGATTATGATGATGATGAAGATGACGATGATGACGATGGTGATGATGGATGGTGATGGTGATGATCTTATGATGATGATGATGATGATGATGATGATGATGATGATGGTGGTGATGATGATGATGATGATGCTGATAATGGTGGTGGTAGTGATGATGCTGATGATGTTGGTGATGATGATGGTGGTGGTGATGGTGGTGATGGTGATGATAACAAGAATGATGATATGATGATGATGATGATGATGATGATGATGATGATGATGATGATGATGATGATGATGATGATGATGATGATGATGATGATGATGATGATGATGATGATGATGATGATGATAATGATGATGATGACCAGAGGGGGCCAGATTGTGAGGATGTCTCGTCGAGCGTGTTGCCTGTTTGGGTGACCAGACTCGTCTGCGCTCAGAACAGCTTTTGAGGATGTCTCGAGCGGCTCGCTGGTGTCAGCACACCTAAGGGGGGCCGCCGGGGGTATTGCACGGCCTCCGTTCGCGACCAGATTGCGGGAATGTCTCAAGCGAGGCGCCTGTTTTGGTGCTCAGCATCCTCTGCTGTCAGAGCAGATTTGGAGGATGTCTCGATCGAGGCGCTCATGTAGCGGTTTGCCTATTTTGCTGGCCAGACTCGTGAGCATGGATCCTCTTCAGGATGTCACAGGAGGCTCCAGCAGGCTCTAGGAGGCTCCAGGAGGCCACAGGAGGTACCAGGAGGTATGAGGATGCCACACGAGGTCACAGGAGGCTCCAGAAGGCTCCAGGAGGCCCCAGGAGGCATCTGAAGGATGTCTCGAGCGAGGCGCTCATTTTCGCCCCCAAGGGGGGGCAGATTTTAAGGATGTCTCGAGCGGTGTGCCTATTTTGCTGGCCAGACTCGTGAGCACGGATCCTCTTCAGGACGCCACAGGAGGCTCCAGCAGGCTCCAGGAGGCTCCAGGAGGTCACAGGAGCTACCAGGAGGTATCAGGATTCGACAGGAGGCCACAGGAGGCCCCAGAAGGCTCCAGGAGGCCCCAGGAGGCCACGTGAGGCCACACGAGGCCCCAGGAGGCCCGAAGGCCACAGGAAGCCCCAAGAGGCCCCAGGAGGCCCCAAGAGGCTCCAGGAGACCGCAGGAAGCCCCAGGAGGTTACAGGAGGCCCCAGGAGTCCCCAGGCTCATGCGCGGAGACGCGCTCATACCACTCAGACTCATTCACACTCCAATGAATTCACAGTTAGATTACAATTAGATTCACTCCCAGTCTGTCGATAACCAAGCCCGCTCATATCCGAAAACTCTCGCGCTTAGACACTCGCGCCGGACAGGTCCATGCTGCTAGATGCACAGAATTTGTTTCACTGCCCAAGGGGGGTCCAGGCAGCGCCACGCAGTGAACAGTTTTCACTGCCCCAGGGGCGGGCACGCCGAGGGCGCGGCCATGCCCCACTCGCACGGCCTGCGCCCCAGGGCGCCATGTGCTCACCGCCCCGCATGCATCACCGGGCGCCCGCAGCACAATCCGCCGAGGTCCCCCGCGGGGCCCGCTCGACGACGAGAAGGACGACGACGACGACGACGACGACGACGACGACCAAGGTGACGACGACGACCAAGGTGACGACGCCGACGACGACGCAGACGACGACGAAGGCGACGACGACGACGACGACGCAGACGACGACGAGGGCGACGACGACCCCGACGACAAACCATCCAGCGTTACACCCACGAAGCCGGGGACGACGACGACGACGACGACGCTGACGGGGGCAACGAGAACAACGCCGACGACAACGATGACGACGAAGTCGGCAACGATGCGGGCGACAACGGCGACGACGACGTCGACGACGACGACGACGACGATGACTACGACGACGACGACGACGACGACGACGACGACGATGACGACGACGACGAGGGCGACGACGGCCCTGCAGGGCTGGCGGAGAGGTGGGGACCGCGGCCCCCGCGGGGGGCCGCCCCAGGGTGCTGGCCAGCCGCTCCTGCACGATGGGCGCTGCCGTGGGCACGATCAGGGTTACTACAGGCGGACTTTCGAAGAATCATTTTAAAAATGATTCCAAAAATACCCAAAAAAAGAATCAAAAGAGCACGAAAAATCGTCCCCAGACTATTTTGTTGACCATTCTCGAAGATTCCTCCCGTAAAGGGACCTGCCCGACTCAAGATCAGGGGATCAAGCAATGACATCAACATAAAAACTCTGAGGTGCGCGGCCTCCTCGGATCGGCGCTGGGGCCCCCTGTCTCCTGTCCTCCCCCCCCCTCTCTCCTTTCACCCCCCCCTCCCCACTCCCCCCCCCCCCTCTGTCCCCCCCCTCTCTCCTGTCCCCCCCCCCTCTCTCTCCTGTACCCCCCTCTCTACTGTCCCCCCCCTCCCCCCCCCCCTCTCTCGTGCCCCCCCCCCTCTCTCCTGTCCCCCCCCCTCCTCTCCCCCCCCCTTCTCTCCTGTCCCACCCCCTCTCTCAATTCCCCGGGCGCCGCCCCTGGCGCGCTCCGCGCGCCAGGGAAGGGGGGTCCAGCGCCGATCCAAGAAAACCGCGCGGACCTCCGCTGAAAGCTTCGAAATGGGCACAAACACCAACACCAGGGGCTGCCTACACGGGAGGAAGATGATCCTAGATTTGGTGTTGGTGGTAATCTTCCGGCAACCTAGGAAGCGCGAATGTGACCACCATCACCGAGATCAGGACCATCTTCCCTCGGTGGAGACACACCGCCGATGTTGGTGCTGGTGTCAACCTCTGGGCCTCCGACTCCGATGCGTATGCCTTCGCTTGATCCCCGAACGATCTTGTCGGCCAGCTTCGGTCTCCAGCGGTCCTCGCGAAGTCCTGGAACCGTCAAGAAAGCAACTCGGGACGAAGAGCCAGGGCCCGGATCCTCGAGGGTCACACTGAGGGGGGGAAACAACAACAACAACAACAACAACAACAACAACAACAACAACAACAACAACAACAACAACAACAACAACAATTACTAGCACGTGGGGACACACCGTTCTCACCAGTGCCAGGGTTTTCATCGGAGGCGGGCAATACCCCCACTTTGTGGGGGGGCCGGTTCAAGCTCTACCAAATTTCCAAACGACTCTTCGCCACCACCCACACCCAGCTTCCCGCCCTATGACGTTCGGACACTTCACTTCGTGGCATGCGGACGACCGTGGCTACTATTCAGGGCCCCGCGGCCGACGACGACGGCGTGCGCGCGCGAAGAAAAAACGAATGTGTCCCGCATGGTATTATTTGACAGGGATGATGGCCCTGGCAGGTGCGCAACCGTTGTTGCAGAAGTTCGAAAAAGTTGCTCGCAAAAGCCCGTTTGACAGAAATGTTTAAAAAGTGTTGGGTTTCCTACGAATCCGCAAGAGCGCGCGGGATGAAATTTTGACATTTTTTTTGAAAAACCATTGGTTTTTTGATGTTTTTATGTTAAAATCGCTACGAAAACTAAGGTTTTGGAAGGATTTCGTCTTGCGCGCGCGAATGTCCACTTTACCTTATTTTTTGCAAGGGATTCTTGAAGTTTGGTTATGTTAGAACAAGAAATGTCCACTTTTATTTTTTGCAAGGGAAAACCGATCGTAACAACACAACCGGATCCGGACCAACCCGTTTTGCCTGAGACTTCCTCACGAAAATGATGAAAATGTGGCTGCGGCCTAGGCGCGGCGGGGGGGTCGCGCACCAGGGGTCCCAACAATAATTATTCTTAAGAAGAAATAATGTTCAACAACAACAACAACAACAACAACAACAACAACAACAACAACAACAACAGCAACAACAACAACCATAATAAGAAGAAGAAGAACAAAAACAGCAACAACCACAGCAACAACAACAACAACAACAACCACAACAACAACAACAACAACAACAACAACAACAACAACGGCAGCAGCAGCAGCAGCAGCAGCAGCAGCAACAACAACAACAACAACAACAACAACAACAACAACAACAACCACAACAACCACAGCAACAGCAACAACAACAGCAACAACCACAACAAAAACGACGCCGGAGTTCTCGGAGCCGCGGGCACTCCCTCAGATCCCGGCGACTCAATTCTGCTCGAGCCTGGCGTCTTCGCTCGATGCCTGGCCCCGGGACCCGCACAGACCGATCCAGCTCGGAACATGACGCAGAAAGGATGGGGCTGCCCCCCCTCTCTTCTGTCCCCCCCCCCTCTCTCCTGTCCCCCCCCCCTCCTCTCCCCCCCCCCTTCTCTCCTGTCCCACCCCCTCTCTCAATTCCCCGGGCACCGCCCCTGGCGCGTCACTCCTCGTGACTCCTCGGGACGTCAGCGCCTTGGTCGACACGTCCGATGTCAGGGCGGGGCACGCCAGACGCGGGCGGGCACTGGGCCCCACGCCCCCCGGGGCACGACGCCCAGCCCTCCCGCACGGCGGGCGCCTGGTGGCCACCCGCGCCGCCGCCAGCCGCCGATCCGAGGTGGGGAGGGGGGGGTGGGAGAGAGGGAGGAGGAGGGAGGGGGGGAGGGGAGGAGGAGGAGGGAGGAGGCGGAGGAGGAGGAGGAGGAGGAGGAGGAAAGCCACGGGCTGAGGGGGGCTGGGCCGTCGTCGCCCTCGTCGGTCGCCCCCTCGTGCTCGGGCTCGCGCGCCGCGGGCCATCGCTCGGCGCCGCGGCCGCGGCAGGCGCCTCGCCAGGACGCCTCGTGAAGGCGAACCATCCTGGCATCGGCGCCAGCGGCAGCAACGTGCTCAGGCGCGCACGTTGCTCCGAGTCCTCTCTGCCGCGAGGACCCTCGCGGAGCACCACAGCGCCCAGCCCGACGACAAGATGGCGCAGGACTGGAAGCACCAGCGCGTGGCCTCTCGAGGTCATCCCGTCGGAGCTCAGCCCTGGCCGTGGAGGTCGGGATCTCGGACGCGACGACGCAGGACGTACGGGAAGAACGACGACCAGAGCTGGCAGCAGGACCGCGACGGCCACGACCAGTACGACGGCGACGCCAAGGACGAGCATGCTCACCACTTCACCCACCACGGCGAGGACACCCACAAGAAAGGCTCACGGGCTCGCTCCACACCTCGCACAAAGTCACGGACGCAGAGCAGGAAGCACTACGGCGCGCACAACTTCTTCGACGGCTTCCAGTTCTCCAAGAAGCAGCGCGAGATCCTCGATCAGGTCCTCCCTGCCGACGACGTGCGCATGCAGTCCCACGAGAGCTTCTCCACGCCCCCGCTGGAGGAGGACATGCGCCGCCTTTGGGTGACAACCAAGCGCGGACGCATCGCTCGGTTGGCAGACCAAGCTCAGGGCGCACGCGCCGTCGGCGTCGACGATGCCAAGATCGTCGCAGAGCTGTCCGTCAACAAGGCAATGCTCCTCCTCACGTTGTCTCCCGACGAGCGGGTGCACTACTACCGCCGATGCATCGACACCACGGTCAGGCAAAAAAATGCGCTCAAGGACGACATCAGGAAGATGCAGACCGAGTTCGACAACACGGAGGGCAGCTTGAGGATACTACGGGCTCTACTCCAGGAGTCGAAGTTGAAGAGGGACGACGCCACACCCGACCTCGAGTATGACGACTTCTACAGCGACAACGACGAGAGCGAGAAGGACCACCACAACAGGCGCAGGACTCGGACACAGACACCTCACCCACGACAGCGCGAAGATCATCGACCCCAGCAGTACGCAGCACCAGCAGCAGCACCACTTCGACAGCAGGACGACCCACACCAAAAAGGTCACAAAGAGCTGCTCGCGATGATCACGGACCTCTCCAAAAAGGTGGACCAGCAGCGACAACACACGGGACCCCATCAGCACCACCTAGCTCACCTCCAACAACAAGCTGATCTCCGACAAGCCGAGCACCGCGAACAGTTGCAGGAGGAGTTTGAGCGCATGGAAGCACACACGTCTCGGAAGGCCTTCAACGAGCTTCATCTCGAACTACAGCACCACGAGCAACGACTCCAGCGCCGCTTCCAGGAGGAGATAGACGAGATCAACGTGCGCAACCGCCACCTAGAACATCAGCAGGCACAACGGTTCCTACGACAGTCTGAACAACGACGCCAGGAAGATGAAGCTGAACAGGCACATCGCATGAAGACCGAGCTCGAACAGCACCAACTACTTCACGACGCCGCACGTGGTCACCTTGCACGGCGGGAAGCAGTACAGCAACACGAACTACGGGAGGCTAAGCCATTTTGGCTCCAGCATCTAATATCCGAGCACCGCCTTCAACAGGAGGAAGCTCAGTGTGCTCACAACCTCCTACTTCAGCACGAGATGAGAGGGCAGCAACAAGAAGACGCACTTCGACTGGCTCAGCAACGACAGCTTCATGAAATCAACTGCAGGGCTCATGCGGAATCATCGGCACTCATGCAAGCCAAAGAGAAGATCCTCGAGGAGTACGGTGAACTGCGTGCGCAACAACACGAAGCAGCCACGATTCGCACCGAGCACCAGCACGAACGAGCCCGACTCCAAGGCGAACGTGCCAACCTACACCTCACCGAGCAGCAGCTCCACGACAGGTACATCAACCGCCTGGCGACGACCGAGGAGATGCGAATAAAGGAAAGGGAGGAAATGCAACGTGAGTTTCGACAAGCCGAGCTTCTTCATGACCCTCTTGATCTTGAACTGTTGCAAGAATTGAACACGAGATTCAGCGAGAGAGTCGAGGAGGAGAACAGACAGCAGGCGTTAGCCGACACAGAGGAGAAGCGCATCCACCGCGAGATCGAAGGCGCCCTCACCGCGATCATCCCAGGCCCCTACGAGCTGCCTCACCCACACGCCGACATCTACCTCGAGCAGCTACGACAGATGAGCTCTCCACCGAACGCAGCTCATTCCACGTCCAACTCAGACGCATGGAGCTTACGAGACCTCGGCGTTGCAGCCGCACCACCCACCTCACCACCCGCCCCGAACCCCGACCACACCCACGACAGAACGCCCACACACCCTCCAGCCAGTATCGCCCCACTCAGCGATGCCGACCACGACAAGCCCTCTGAAGCACACCACGGCGATACACAAGCACACCAATCGAGCTCTCCAAGATCTTCGTGCTCTCCCACGCCCATCGCCGACGACGGCTACCTCTCTCAGCACGACGACGGACAGTCTACGCCCATTCCTGACCTTCATCACGACTCCGACCTCGAAGGCACCGACACCCCCATCCCAGCTGCGCAGGCCACTCCCTCCACCCCACACATCATCTTCCCCGAAGTGCGTGCCATGTCCGCCCCCCCCGACACGAGACCGACACCCGACGACCAACAGCGATCCACGCCCCTTACCACAATTCTCATCGATCTCAGCGACGACGAGCACGAAGTACCCACCACGCCCAAGACTCGACCGATCACCAGCATCACCCCAACCCAAGCCTACAGCCCCATCATCCATCCACCCAGATTCCATATGGGAACGCCCGACAGGGCCCAGTCAGCGCCACCCTCACGAACCCGATCGGCCCTCAAGAGACAGGACTCCACATCACGACCACCGCGGAAGGTCCGTATCCACGACAGCGGTGACGGCTTCGTGGACATATCCGACCGCGTCCCTCTCCGCGCCGATCCCGACGATGAAGGATCGGACACCGCGCTGCGTCCAAAAAACTAGATACGAACGACCCCGATGAGGGCGCTCTGGCTCATCGGACCCGTCGAAAAAGACCAGAGCAACAGGCCCCTGGGCGGCCTCAAGCGACCATACGTAAATATCGGCCCAGCGCCACACAGCATCACAATGTCACAGACGCAGCAACGAACCTTGCGACCCCTGCGGTGCAGGTAACTTGCAGCATCAGACACGCACACCCACCCCGCCTTCCACTAGGGAAGCATACACCGACTGACCTCGACAGGCTGACACCCGCTTTGGGGACTGCGGATCAGCACCGAGCGCCAGGCAACATAGACAGCCGACTCTGCCATCTTCCCTTCTCGACAGCAGACTCCACTAGCTTGCAGACCGCAACCAACCTGACGACCCAGGGGGTGCAGGTGACTTGCACTTCTGACAGCCACCTTCCGACACACACCACCAGTCCACGTGCACTGACTCCTGCTTTGGGGATAGCAGATCAGACCCGACGGACAACGGCAGCAGTTTCACTTGCTTCACACTACCAGCACGACGCAACCGATGGACAGCCAACAACTATCCACCATAGGCGCCACCCGACCGAAGAGTGGGAAATCCACTCTAGCGGTTCGCGCCCCCACCCAAGCTCGACTGCCATACTGGGGAGGGTCCCCCCAGATGGCACCTCGCGCAGGTTGACACCTCCACGAGCGCCACCTGGCTCCTACGCCGCCACCTCCGACACATCGCCAAGGCACGACCTACCTCGCTCCACCATCTCTGAGAGCACTCAGCGTGTCACGCCGACCACACCAAGGGCGAGGCCAGGCGACGAGACGAATTGGTTACATACACCACCCCGACTCGAGCGACCCAAGCCCGACGTCACGGTCACCGCAACTAGCCATTTTGGCTCTATGCATGCACGGAAATTCAACGGCTCCGACGTCCACAACGAGACGCCCGAGTACCACAGTGCGATCACGATAGACTACTTCCCTGGGATCGAGGACACCTTCCTCGATAACAGCAGCGAGATGGATAGCGGCAACTTCCACCTCGATGACGACGCCATTCGCACGCGGCTTCTGGCACGAGTCCGACGGCAGCAGCGACGGCGACTAACAGCACAGCAGACATCTACGTACACCACGACCCACAATCGATTCCAAGCCCTGCAACCCAGCCCACCGCCACCCTCAGCAAGACATACCACCACGCTTCCGACACAGCAGCCCACCGGCCATCCACCAGTAGTCCTGACAGCATCCCAGGGCGCTGGACATGGCACAGCAGCACCCGACAGAGACTGCCACGTGGCCACAGGTGAAAGGCGTCAACGACAAAAGACAGCCATGCACCCCTTTCGATGCCCAACAGGAGTTTATGCAACAACGCACAACGGACAAGCTGCACACAGACGACAGCAGAAGGCGACAGCATTGTTACCGTTTCGAGTACAGCGACCACCCAATCCCAGCGCCGACAAGCAGCCCCAACAACCGCAACCATCTTACCACGAGGCCAATCTCGACATCACAAGATATCACGGCCTGCAACCACCAGGCGACTGCACATGCGACCTAGGGGACACCAGAGGACTGATCAGACGAATACGGGCCACGACCGCCCCCTTTCTCAACGCCAACATCGAAGGTGATGACCTGCACCCAGCAGCAACATATGCGCTCAACAATACGACGAAAGGCAACAATGCCCACAGCGCAAAGCACATCTTCACTGACGCTTCCCACAACGCAAGGAGACCAGACTGCTGCTCATGGGCATTCTTGGTACTACAAGAAGGTGGTGAACACGACCAACGCACGTTCAGAGGAGCCTTCAGCAGCATCGTCAGCAAGAGCCACAACATGAAGTTGAATGACCGCAGCACCACCAACACCACAGGCGAGATCATGGCCATCGTGCAGGCTCTCATGTGGTCCATCGCCGTCGCCGAGCCGCAACCTATCTGTATCCACACCGACTGCGAGACGGCCATCAACATATGCATGGGACGCGCCACAGCATCAGCAGACGAACATCTTGCGAGATTCATGAAGGTCATCTTCGACACGCTCAAGAACGAAAACGACATCACCTTGCATCACGTCCCGAGTCACGAAGGCATGCCGTGGAACGAGCTCGCCGACGGAATCTCAAAGAGGACACGCAAGCGCTACGAGAGAGGCCACGACTACGACACCATCCCGCACAACTTCAGAGACATCATTGCGGACACAAAGTACTACCAATGGGAGTCGATCCTCCAGCCTGATCATCCCGATCGAGCAGCTTACCCACTACGCGAAGGTGCCACCTTACGCTTTGGATTACCAACTCGGAATGCTAGTGTTCGACACCTCATGGCGCCTAAGACGGTCTCTGCCAAAGAAACCAAGATCGAGCTCTCCATTGCAACCTACAACGCCGAGAGTGTCAGAGAGTCCGACGCTCAGCAGCAGAAGAAGTTCACAAAGGCAGCTCGGCTTGCACACCAGTGGCGGGGACCCTTGCTTCGACGACAATTTCAAGAAAAGCGACTCCACATCATCGGCATTCAGGAGGCGCGCAACGAACGACGTACAACAACTGGGAATGGATACTTCATCATCAGCAGCCCGCACGACCACTACAACGCTGGATGTGAGCTATGGATCAACGTGGAGAAGCCCTACGCCTACAACAAGGACGGCCCACAGCACTTCGAGCCCAGACACTGCCACGTTCTCATCAGTGAGCCAAGGATCCTCATCGTCAAAGTCACTACGGACTGCATCAATACCACCATTTGTGTATTTCATGCTCCTCACAGCAAGAAAGGTCCCCAAGAACGACAAGACTTTTGGCAGCGACTACAGAAGCTCGTACAACAGCACAGACCCAACCTCATGCTCGCCGACGCCAACGGCCGACTTGGAAGCGTGCAGTCGACATCTGTTGGACCTGCTGGACTCTCCCAGACCGAGGACAGCAACGGCAAGGAACTTCACGAGATAGCAGCCGCAGG